TAGGAAATCTCTCTGACTATTCCTTCTCTGTCTCCTTTGCTGGCTCCTTCTCTGATGTCTAAATATTGGATTTTCACAGGACTTGTTCTTAGATTCCTTTCTCAAGTGATCTCATTCCTTCCAGTAGTTTTACTTCCCAGATAAGTGCTGACAATTTTTATCTCCTCCTGAAGGTTCTTCTTATTATATTCCCAATTGCCTACCTAACATTTCCACTTTAACGTCTTTAAAGGCTTCTCAAATTAAACATGACCAAAACACTGCACTTTTGATCTCCTTATGCTCTGTCCCCTGCTTCGATCTTTTCAGACTCCCATCATCCTTATCTCAGTAATTGCCATTACCATCTATTTAGCTGAAGCCGGAAACCTAGGAGTCATTCTTAAAACTTCTTTCTGCCCTTACAACCCTTTGCTTCAGCCCCGTCATATCTATTATCAAGTCCCATTGATTCAAACACCAATATTTGTCAGATCCTTCCACTTCTCCCCAGTTGAGTTGTTTTCAGGATTCTAGCCCAGTCACCATCATTTGTCACTGGACTGCTGCAGTGTATCCCTAGCTCTTCCTCCTCCAGGCATCTCTCCACCTTATTTCTTGTAGGCTGTTTCTTTTGCTCTCATTGTTTCTACCCTTCTCTGTTTCGCCTCCTCTCGTCATTCTGTTCCCCTTAGTCTCTTTTCACTGCATCTCTATCCCCCATTTTTATTTCCCCCTTTTCTCTGTCAAGCCCATCACCATGTTACTCCCATGTTAGTCTTCCGCCCTCAGAGAACTCTTTTAAAGCTATGAATTAGATCATGTCACCCCCTTGGTTAAATCTGTTCAGTGGCTTCTTACTGCACTTAGAATAAAATCTAATTTCCTTAACATGCTCTTGCATGATGGGGCCACTGCCTAACTCATCAGCCCCATCCTAAGCCACACAGTCTCCATGCTTCTATCAGTTCTTGGAATCCACCAAACTCTTTCTCTGTTCAGAGCTTTGCAAAAAGTATTCTGCATGCATAGAACTCTTTCTCCTTTCTTTGCCTAGCTAATTCCTACCATTCTTCAAATTCGTGTTTTTCCTATAGCAAAACCATTTCTAATCACTCAGTCTGAGTCTGACCTAGGCCTTCGCTGTTTTTCTTGTGGCACTCTGTTACTTCTTTCAAAACAGTTTTCATGATTTAACGTTATGCGTTCATTTGTGTATTTGCTTATTTTTAATCTTCCCATTGAATATATTAGTTTCATAAGGGCATGTCTATTTTGTTCATCATTGTGTTTCTTGCATATGGTACCTGCCTAGTTCAATAAAGGTGATGAATAAATGCTTGTTGAATGAATGAGTGTACATCATATGATGATAGCCTGAATTATGATATAGCCACAGATATGAGTAAAATTGGTAGAGAAGAGAGTGACGAGACAGGCTGACTGGGGCAAAGGGCCTGTATTAAATGCCTGAAGACTCATTCTAGCAAAGAGAATTGTAAGTCACTTACAAAACTCATATCTGAGTTGTCTCCCAATTATAATATGGGTATTTTAAAACTTTTATTTTCATTTATATTTATTTTTATGTTAATAAAAGAAGCTTTCCAAATTATGTTTAATGATTTCTGAGTATTATTAACCTCGATTTATCTCTTTTAATTTGATAAATTATATTAAATGAACTATAATTATGTCTCATCATAGGATTAATAACATTAACTCATTTAAGTGCAGACTATGTGTCAGATACTTTATATGTGTCATCTCATTTAATGTTTACAACAGCCATACCAGAGATGTGGTGGTATTCCCATTTTATAGATGAGAACACTAAGGCTCGGAGAAGTTAGCTACTCCAAGGTCATATAGCTACTGTATACTGGAGGTGGAGTTCAAACCAGATGTGTTTGGATACTTTCTACTACCACAGTGTGTCTTTCTGTAAGTTATTTTAGTACACATTTTTTAAGAAAGAAATGTGAAATATTTTTGGTATGGATATAGCATTTCTATTTTGTCTTATTAGGCAATTAGGAAATATTTAACTTAAAATTTTAAAGCTGAACAACAGCTGGCTTTTTTTCCTGAATAAATCAGAGAGGATACAGTCTTCAATTATTTTTCTAAAAGAAGTGTCAAAATGATGAAATATTTCTGACATGCAGAAAGGCATAAAGATTAGCATAATAAACACCTGTGCAGTTGAAAGGCCCCATACAGTCCTCCCCAATCTCACCTTCCTGCCACTCCTCAGCAGTAACTGCTCTCCCACCTTTAGCATTTATCATATCCTTGCAGCCGTATGCATCATGGCTGTGATCTGGTGACTGATGCATATATGTGAAGTGCGGTGGTAGTTTATGTTATTATTTTTCTGAAGAAACTTATTTCTTTGCTTTTTTGTCACTATTTTCCTTGCTTGACCCCAGATTTGTGCAAGATTGAGCTGTGCCACCTTGAGCTCTTCCCATCATCTCCTATATGTGGGTAAAGAGTAGGAAAGTACTTAGTTTCAGATTCTGCAGCTGTGATATAAAGGGTCAGTTCAATAGATTGGCTTTCTTTCCATCATGATCTCAGGTCAAACTGGTATGAAGAGCTTTACCACAAATAATCTTATAGACCATATGACTGAAATTATTTTTAAAATGAGTGTGTTAGGCCTAGATCTTGGTCACATTTCAAGTGGATGAGCACAGTTTGTGTTTGTAACAGTTTCCACAGATTTTAAAAGTGTGTTCTTAACTTACGATCTATATGTAAGTTCATGTCTTGTGAAAGAGTCCCAGCAGGGCTAGAGGATGGTTTGGACTTGGTCACGTGAGAGGCCTTTCCCCCCCGCCCCCCCCCGCTTCCTCAAATCTAAGGGAAAAGACTTTCTCAAGTTGGTGAAGAATGGAAGTAAGCTTTTCCAATAAGACAGAACAAAACCAAAATAAAATTTAAATTTCTAATTAAGATGCAGTTCCAAAATTGAAGTGTCAATAGTTCAGTATAATTGGTTTATATGAAAAAAGATTGAGACTTCTAGGGAAAGATAGAAAAGAAGAAAATTGGCAGTAAAATGGATCAGAAGCAAGAGTTGTGATTGTGATGAAGGTCAGGGACTGGGACTGACTATCAAAATGAAGTGGCTGTTCTTGGGATTAAATGCCTGAGACACAAAAATAGTTTACAAAGAGAATAGTGAATGACTAGAAAATATCATAACCTAGCTGAGATATAGTGAGTATTAATTAATTAATTATTAATTAATTGATGATTGACTGATAGAGTCTTATCAGTTTACAGAAGTTTCTCAGTAAAAGCATGTATTTGTATATATTATAGCTTTTCATATATGAAGATACATTATAACTTCTTTGAGTACTATTTTAATGAAGAATTTCTTTTTAAAGGTAATCCAGATGGTTATATTTTTATCATCTTAAAAGTAGTTTTTTCCATTACCACAAGAAGTATGATTTGAAAAAAATAAATAACAGACTGTTTTGCAAAAATTCAAGTGACCCAAGGTTGTGCACAAATTTTTCATTTCTTTCATAAAACTAGTCTTGTTGAATTTTCCATAGAAAATGCAACTACTAAACATTCTTGTGATAGCTTCTTTGTGAATGTGTCACTGTTCTTGATTTGCACACGCCTTATAATTTAGGCCTTCTTTTGTTTCGGCTTGGCAGTTCCAACTGTTAAAGCTCTTGTCTGATTATGTGGGACTACTCATTTTAATGGGAGCAGCTTCTTTGCTGCCATTTTTTAAAAATGGTCTCAGAAGCGTGTTACTGTGGATCTTTGTTGGGGACAAAGGATTATTTATGCCAAAGGAAAATGTATTCCCCACTGAATTAGCTCGTGGGAAGCATCACAAGCTCATTAGTAATGCTCAATTGTACTTTGGCCTTTTGCTATGGTAGAAGGAAGGGAAAATGACATCAAAAAGGACATTCTGTTGTCCTTTGCCTTCCCGCAAAGAAAATGTGATGTACTATTAGACTGTTTAGTTAGGCTTAGCTCGGGCTCAACTTTGGTAACAGAGGAAATATTCCTGAAAGGAAAGTGGTATGTGTAGCCTGCGCCGTGTGTGAGGTATGTCTGGTATAACTTAGAGGAGAAAATAACTTTTTCTTGGAAATTTATATCATTAAAGCCTTATAAACCGTTTTATTTATTTATTTTTTTCTTAGACTATTTTAATGGTGGCTTATAACAAAAAATAGACTGGATTATTATGCTGCTACTAAGCAATAAAAAAAATCCTGGGTTATATAGTCTGTATGATTCTGAGCATTATTAAACTCTTTGTTTTTTTCCCTGAAAATACATTAAGGAATTGCATTAACCTAACTTAATTAAAGTTATATTTTTTCCTTATAGATTTCAAGAATAGTTCTTTGAAGCTAAAATTGCTATTCCTTTTGTTTTTTGCCTTCAGCACGTCTTGGAGAAGATAACTTCTGAGAAACTATTACAGAAAGGCATTGAGTAGTTTTGTTGTTTCACAGTTAAAATTGATGCTTATCTTTTTTATCTTCTAGCTGAAGAAACCTATGGTTAGCTTGTGAATTTATACAAAGTCCAGATGATCGTACATGATTTCTATGTAAAGATCAGATGAGAGATACTTGATATTTAATATCAGTTGTGATTTTACCTTATATTTATACATTACATTTATATTTACATTATGTTTACAGTGGAAAATAAAATTTTGGGGACTAAGTTTTATTGCTAATTTTATTTTACTAAGCTAACTGGTTCAAGAATTAATTTGATTTATAGTGCCAGAAACTGCATGTTAAAGTGTGTTTCAAGTTTGTCTCTTTCATATGAGGAATACTTTTATAAAGTAAGAAGCAAGGAATGATTGTTGACTTCTCTTATAGTCAAACTGTTCAACTAGAAGAAAAAGTTTTACATTTTTCAGTCAATTAGGGCACTAAAGCAGATCCTAAATTTTGTAATGGGGGTGGAGGAGAGGTTGTCATTGTCTGCATATTAAGGTTTTGTTCTATTTTCAGAAAAGCAACTTCATTTCAGTACAGATGACCATGCAGCCTGCAGTTCAAGTAAGTGTTTCTCTTGGACAAATACATCCTTAAATTATGGGATTAATATAATTGAATTATAATAATTAGAAAATGCCAAAATCATCACAAAATGTTTTTATTTCACTAGTTTCTATAAGCACCAAATTTTAATAATAGGAATATTATATTTTGACTTTCTAGTTTCTTCTGAAAAGGATTCTAATTCTAAGCTTTTGTTTGTACTGAATATTAGTAGTAATCAAAAAAACCTTAGAGATTTTGGGTCTGTCTTATTTATACCACACTTAGAAGAGAATTGAAATATTTTGTAGTTTTCCTCCATTACAATTTAGTGTTATTTACAATTAAAAGAGCTTTCAGTGAAAACATATAAATGTTTTTATTTTAGATAGCTCTACATGTGCCTTGTACATGCCTGTACATGACTAGGCATTAAAAATTAAAATTTTAAGGAGAAGTTTTTAAAAGTTTATTTGTTTGCCTGTTTTTTGTGAGGAGGTAAGCTCAAGTGGGGGGGGGTATCGAGACAAACCAGAATAATTTTATATTTAAATAATTTCCAGAGTTGGTATTTGCTATGTTAGTCTTAAATCCTTTTAAGTTTCCTTTCTTTTGAGTATATATATATACATACATATATGTATATATGACATGATTGAATATTAAAGATAAAAATTATATTGAAGGTCTAGCTAGAAATACACAAGTAGCTGATGATAAAATTTGCCTTTGAAAGTGACTTTAGAGTCAATCAGCTTTTAGTTCTGCCACTTTGACTGTGAGACTCTTGCAAGTTATCTTACCTCCCTAAGTCGCTGCTTCCTTGTCTCTAAGTAGAGGATAGCAGTACTTAGATTTTGCAGGGTAGTTGTGCAAAGTGCCTAACAGAATGTGTATTGCATAGTAGGCACTTGCGAAGTTTGGTGGTACTGTTGGTACAACAAAATTATCCAGATGTAAAACTGGAGATTGTAATTGTGTCATAGAAACCTTTCTTTCTTTTTTTAAGAAAGCTTATCAAGATAACGGGAACCCTGGTGATGAAATGGTTAAGTGCTTGGCTGCTAACCAAAAGGTCAGCATTTGGAATCCACCAGCTGCCCCTTGGAAACCCTATGGGGCAGTTCTGCTCTGTCTTGTAGGGTCACTGTGAGTCAGAATCAACTTGATGGCAATGGATTTGTTTATTATTTATTTTTTTGGTTTTATCAAGATAACAAGCCCTGGTGGCACAATGGTTAAGTGCTCAGCTGCCAACCAAGAGGTCGGTGGTTCAAACCCACCAGCCCCTCTGCAGGAGAAAAGACCTGACGATCTGCTCCTGTAAAGATTACAGCCTAGGAAACCCTAAGGGGCAGTTCTGCTCTGTCGTATAGGATCGCAGTAAGTCAAAATCAACTGAACGGCACACAACAGCTATAATCAAGATAATAGTAAATGACAGCCTAGAGAATAGAATTTGTTTATCATATAGCTAAGAACAACCCTGAATGTGATCCTGCTTGTACTCCCTATCAGCTATGTCTTTCTACTCTAGTAATAAAGAACTCTGCTGTACTGTTTTCTTTTTGGGACTTGGGAGTCCATGACAGTCTTCCATAAAGTTATGTCCTCTCACATCCACGTTCACTAGATTTGAAACTCCTTCATACTCAAAACCATTTTTTGTCTGATTACTTGTGTTTGTCGCCTGTTTATCCAAGTCTCAGAAATGTCATCTGTTTCTTGTCAATTATATTTTCTTGATTCCTTATAGAATACTTTTTATCCTCACTGCATTGAGCATGTTTTTCTCATTACCACACTAATGGTCATGAATATTTTCTTACCTTGGTACTTTTTTCATAGTTTGTGGTTCCATGAAACTTTCTCTGATCGAGATACCACAAATCTATCTCTACAGATTCTTCTCCAAGAGCAACCTTGACATCTCTCATGGAGATTTTGTTTCTCTCCCTGCTGAATGTGACACCTTCCTAGGATTTTCAACTTTTTCTTGTAGAGAGTAGACATTCAATATATAGCTGTTATAAATTGATTTCTTATTCATTTAGTACGTTAAGATCTTCCTTGCCTTTCTTTCCTGCCCCTCATTCTGATTAGAAAATCCACATATAGTCTAGAAATCAATGAATAATAGTTCCTAACCTCTTTTTAATCATAGGATCTCTGAGACTATGACAAAAGCTATGAACTCTGTCTCTAGGAAAGGGCACATAGGTACTTAGACATAGATTTTTTCCTAAATATAAAGAAGTTCATGTCCTTTCCATGTTCATCTATAGACTGCCTAGGGATTAAGAATGTCTGCAATATGACAGCTTTCTGTGGGTTTGAGAACAACCTTTATACATGTAGTTTATGTCATTAACATCTTGTTTTAACAATATAAATACCCTACTGACTGGCTCATGTCTTTTGGTTGCAATGATAGGAAAATCCAAAAAATATTCTTCTTCTTAATGTGTCAAGAAATTAGAATGACTCGTTACTGTTATTTTATAGTCTCTCCCATTTTCACATAACTTTTTCAAAACCACCCTCCTACCTCATGCATACGTTTCCTTGACAAACGTTTGCACCTGCTCTGCCAACTTTTAGCTCAGCCAAATGGTAAAAAGACAAATCGTGTATTTCATTGACTATAAAATATCATTGATTATAAGATGCATCTTGGTTTTGGAGATTAGAAAATTTTAAAAAATATGGTTTTAGAATTAATGAAAAAATGTATTGCTCCACTATTCCCAGCAAAAATAGGCAAAGCAAGAAAGTTGAAATTGTCTGAAGTAATGATTAGAGCAATGGAAATGACTGAGACAGGATTTATAGGACGAGAAGGCATAACTAAGGAAAAGGTGGTGAGGAAAAGTTGAACCCAGGCTATTGCATATGGATGGATGGTATGTTAATTTGTAGATTAGGCTTTGATGGTACAAAGATCATTTGCTGATATGCATTACTCAATTCAAATATTTTTGACTGAATACTATGTGCAAAGCATTATACTGAGTCCTGGGATTACAAACAGAAGTAAGAAATGTTTATGAAGGGAAGAATTAGATAGTAAGTCTTTGCTATAAACCAAACCAAACCAAACCAAACCTGTTGCCGTTGAATTGATTCCGACTCATAGTGACCCTATAGGATAGAGTAGAACTGCCCCAAAGGGCTTCAAGGAGCGGCTAGTGAATTCGAACTGCCAAACTTTTGGTTAGCAGCCAAGCCCTTAACCACTGTGCCACCAGGGCTCCATCTTTGCTATATTCCCTTTGAAATAATTTGAAGAGAATTCAGGAAAATAACATCTTATTTTTTTTCCTAGAACTTACAGGATCCTCATATATTTAGGAGTTCACTCCCCACTCCCAATTTTTGAACTAATATCACTCAGAAGACTTACATTTATCTTTGTCTCTGGGGATTTTTATTGGATATCACTTCTCCTCCTTGCCTCTTGTTCATTTTGTCTTTGCCCTTGGGATTTCCTTTTTAACATGTTTGTTTCTCTTCATACAATATTGGAAGCAGTTTTTGTTTTTTTCAAAGACTGGATTAACTGTGGTGTTTCTATGGCTTTTGGTTTGGTGTAGTAAGAATTGCCTTAAATGAACCTCAGTACATTTAATATATTTTAGGGAGAAATAATCTATATTTAAGAATCAATAAAGGACTAGATTAATTTGGTACTAACCTTTATTTATACCTCTTTTTTAACCATTTAAAAAAATTAAAACAATCACAAATCTGCAGAGTAGTTTTTAAGTGTCATACAGAGAAATTTCTTTGCCTGACCCATTTGAGACTAAGTTGCTGTTCAATGATCCATTAGCTCTGAATACTTCAGTGTGTATTTCTCACAAACAAGGACATCTTCCTACAACAACCACAATAAAATCATTAGAATCAGAAAGTTAACATCAATATAGTATGACCATTAAATACTCAGACCACATTCAAGTTTTGCCAGTTGTCCCAATAATGCTTGGTTTAGAATTGAGTGTTGCATATAGTTGCATGTCTCTTTAGTCTTCATCATCTGGAACAATATCTCAGTCTTTCTTTGTCTTTAATGACCTTGACACTTTTGAATATTACAGATTAGTTATTTAGTAGAATATCCCTCTATTTAGGTTTGCCTGATATTTTCTCATGATTAGATTCAGGTTATGCATCTCTGACAGGAATATCACAGAGGGATGCTGTCTATTCTTATTGCAGCCTAGCAGGTGGTATATGATTTTGATTTGTCCCATTACTGATGGTGTTCACCTTGATCACCTGATTAAGATGGTATCTGCCAGATTTCTCTACTGTAAAATTACTCTTTTTCCCTCTGTAAAGTATTTTGTGAAGAGTTACTTTGAAACTATATAAAAATCCCATTCCTCACCAAAATTTCAATTCATTTATTTATATCTGTATGGGCTCATGGAGGTTAAGAGCCTGGCTGCTAACCAAAAGGTTGGCAGTTCCAATCTACCAGCTTCTCCTTGGGAACCCTTTGGGGCAGTTCTACTCTGTCCTCTAGGGTTGCTATGAGTTAGAATCAACTCAGCGGCAACGGGTTTGGTTTTTTTGGTTTGAACTCATGGTTATCTATTTTATTCAATATATTATAATCCATTTCTATCATTATTTATTTGAATGCTCAAATTACCCTTGATTTAGCCAGCAGAAATCCTTTCAAGCTGGCTTCTGTGTCCTTTCGACATGTCCTCATCATTCTTTGAGCACTTCTTTGCTTTTGGCAAAAGATATTTCAGATTCATTGTTTACTTTTCTTGCTCCAGCCCTGCAATCAGCCATTTGTCTTAAGAAGTCATTGGAGAATGGTATTTTGAAGCCAAGATCTGGACACTAGGTGTGCTCATTGCTATTGAGGTGTTGATGTGTCCAGGCCCTCTCAGTGGATAGAACTAGGGAATAATTATAGATATATACGTAAATACATACATACGCACATACAGAAACACCTGTATCTGTATTTATATATCTATAGCTATTTAAAACCAAGAGTTCACATAAATACCTCCCAATTCCTATCTAACACCATAGGATTCATTCTAGTTTCTTTCATTCCATATTTGTTCATCTCTTCTCTGACAGTGAGAAACCTGGCTCCCATTTGATAAATCCCCCTGTATGTAACCACCACTCATCTGACAGCCACCACTCATCTGTCAGTTTGTTGTACTGTGGTGGCTTGTATGTTGCTGTGATGCTGGAAGCTATGCCTCCGGTATTTCAAATACTAGCAGGGTCAACCACAGTGGAAAGGTTTCAGTGGAGCTTCCAGACTAAGGCAGACTAGGAAGAAGGACCTAGCGATTTACTGAAAAAATTGGCCAGTGAAAACCTTATGAATAGCAGTGGAACATTATCTAATATAGTGCTAGAAGAAGAGCCCCTCAGGTTGGAAGGCAGTAAAAATAAGATTGGGGAAGAACTATCTCCTCAAAGTAGAGTCAACCTTAATGACATGGATGGAGTAAAGCCTTCAGGACCTTCATTTGCTGAAGTGGCATGA